CCAATAACTCAATATACCAAAAAAAGGGGCAAAAGATAAAACGGGCAATTAATTCACAGAAGAGGAAACTCCAAAGGCTGACGAAGGTGTGAAAAGATACGTAACTTTACTAGCAAGCAGGGAAATGCAAACAAGCACTGCCATGAGATACTATTCCGTACCCACTAAAAAGTCTGACAATTCGGCGTGTTAGCGAGGAGCCAGAGCAAAGAGACCCCCAGACACTGCTCCCAGGGACGTTAAATGCACAAACCCCAAGAGCCAGCAATCCCGCCTCAGCTGTACGTGCAAGGAAGCAGCTACAAGAAAGTATCCTAAAAATCTCCTACAGGAGCTCGAACAGACAGGGGTATATTCATAAATGGAATATGAATCAGCAGTTAAAATGAACTGAAGCTACATGTACCAACATAGATCTCAAAAGTGGAATGTTCTGTAGCTTTAAAACTTTCCATACAAGATCTTGGGGACTGCTGAAAAGGTACAAACATTACAAGGTACACGAGGCCTAGCTGGGAAGGGGCCTGATTGCCACAGGGCACAAGGGATCTTTTTGGGGGTGATGGAAATGTTATAAAACTGGATCGTGGGCTTCCCTGGTGGCGCAGTGGTTGGGAGTCCGCCTGCCGATGCAGGGGACACGGGTTCGTGCCCCGGTCTGGGAGGATCCCACATGCCGCGGAGCGGCTGGGCCCGTGAGCCATGGCCGCTGAGCCTGTGCGTCCGGAGCCTGTGCTCCACAACGGGAGAGGCCACAACAGTGAGAGGCCCGTGTACCGCAAAAAAAAAAAAAAAAACAAAAAAACTGGATCGTGATGATGGCTGCACAGCTCCACACATTTATCTAAAGAAATCAGCCAATTGTACACTTACAATGGGTGAATTTATGGTATGTAAATCATACCTCAGTAAAGCTACTGAATAAAAAAATCATATCTATTGGTCTATTTTTAAAATGTGCATGGGAATGACAAGCACCAAATGTAGGATATTGTTTTTATTTCGGGGGGGGGTGACTGTTGGAGTGGGTGCACAGGGGGCTTTGCACGTGCAATATTTCATTTCTTACAAAATAAAAATGATTTGAAATGAATAGGGCAAAACGTAAAGATCTGACAGCTGGATGTAGACAGACAGATATTTAACTTCTCCTAGGTATCTGTATACTTGAAATCGTGTATTAGTGTATCGGAAAAGTGCCTATTTTAAAGGGCTGTTGTGATGACTAGATACATATAGAGAGCTTAATCCAGTGCCTAGCCCACAACAATGGATTAAATTTCAGCTGCTAAGATCGCTGCCTCTATAACTACTTCTAGCATCTTGCTCTTCTTAACACCTAAAGATCTTAAGACAGAGCAAGCCAGTATTTCCTGGCCCCTGCTAAGTGAGACTTTTGTCTAACCCCAAGGCTTCTGTACCTCCCTCTCCAGTGCTGGAAATGGGGCGATCCAAAAAAACCCTGCAAAACCTACAGGGAGCACTTCCTCCTCCCCTCAAGCTGGAAGATAACCTAGCTGGGGAGGGTGTCCCAGGGTGTCACACTTGAAAGCCCCCTTTCCATTCATTTAGAAAGCCCTAGGCTCCACGGCAGGAAGATGCAGGCAGAGAAACGCCAAGAGACAGAGTGCAGTGGCTCCAGGGAAGCTTTCTCCAGATGATAATACTGTTGATACTACTGTCAACAATGATCCCTACCCACCCATGGGGATCTCGGAGGCCCTGGGAGCTTCTGCCCCTGCATTCTCCAGATGTGGCCTATGGCTCTGCCCTTGGGCCCACTGATGATGTCTCTGCCCACAAGTGAAGGAGGCTGGGGCCAGGCGTGATGAAGATGCCGCCCTGATCATGGAGAAGATGCCATTTAAGGTGGAACAAGTGGCCCAGCCTTGATGGGCAGCCCTGAGCTCCTGGTGAAGCTCTCCAACGAGATCTACAGCACCTGTGACCTGTTCGCTCCCAGGCAACTGAGTGATGAGACAGGTGGAGGCTGAAGTAGCTGTAAATAGGGAGCAGGTGGTGGGAAGCCTCAGTAACTAACTTGTATGTTCTCATGCAGTGTTTGGGGCAGGGCGGTTAGAAGCCAGGGTGTGTGTGATTTCGCCCTCCTGGGGGACGTGTGTGGAGACATTTTTGGTTGTCACAATTAGGGAGGGGGATGCTTACTGGCACCTAGGGGGTAGAAACCAGAGATGCTGCTGAACATTCTACCATGCACAGGACAGCCCCTCACAAGGAAGAACGATCTGGCCCAAAATATCAACACTGCTGAGGCTGAGAAATTCTGCCCTAGAGGGACGCAGCACTATTTACAATTTGCAGATTATAGAAGCAGTTTAGAGAGGTAAATTGACCAGCTCAAGGTCACACAGCAGGAAGTGGCTGAGCCCAGGGCTGTCCAACTCCTCTGCTCATGCCATCTCTCCAGAGTGGCTGGGCCAACTTCAGAGAGGAGGATATACCAAATGGGAAAAAAGTCCAGACCCATGCCAATAGCTACCTCCATGCCCATTCCTTCTAGAGTGGCAGGGGCAGGTATGGTTTGGGAACAGGGGCAGGGGTCACTAGCAGTTGTTGATGGGTTTCCTGCCATCACAGCACTTAACTTTCTCTGTTGCTGTGGATGACTCAGGCTGCAGTTCAACCCATTGCCCCTATTCATCCGATGAAACCAGAAGGCTGGCTAGAAGGGAGGGGGCTCCCTTGCATCACAGGAGTGCCTAAACCCACATGCAGAAAAATAAATTCTTGGTGAAATCCCTCCTCATGTGACTTTGGCATGTTCCCAGTCAGAGTAACATGGATACCACAGGGCAGGGAGGCAGGCATCTGACGGTTATGGAATGTCAACCCTGTCAGTCACAAGATCCCTTCTCCTAGGAAGTGGGCACCATTACCCCCATTTTACAGATGAGGAAACTGAGGATCAGAGAGGCTACACAGCAAGCTGGGTGCCAAGATTTAAACGCAAATCCATGTTAATATTTAGAGACCTGTCTGAAGGAGCCCCTAAAAAGTGGTTGAAGGCTTACAGAGATGCCCCTCAAAGCTGCCGCACCTCCAGAAAACTGGCAGGGAGGGATCTAAACAGAATGAAAAGCCTCAGAGTGATCACAAATGATGGCAAAATTCTCAGTTTTTAAGAGGACTTTGCGTAGGGAAACTACGGGGTATGAAATCTGCAAAGTGGTGTGACCTGGTGGAATAACACTTTTTGGGGTCGAACATACTTGGATTTGCATTCCTGTTCTGGCCCTGACTGTGACCTCATCTTTCTGAGCCTTAGTTTCCTCATCTGTCAAATGGGCTTAAGAACCTGTGCCTGATAGTCGTGTGATGAGAGAGGACAGGAGAGAGTGGATGATGATGCCCATTTCTTGGAGGCTGTATATATTCTGGTGCTCCCAGCTCACAGATCTGGTGGGAGGCAGCACGGGGAATTTCAGACTTCCTCCTGTCTGCCATGTTGGTAAAAACTGTCTTCATAGCAAAGAGGCAACTCAGTTATACACTCAACAGGCTCAAACAAGGAACCAAGATTTGGTAGCATTTGAAACAGTTAAAAAGAAAGGGGGTGCGGGGGAGACAATTTAGCCCAGCTCTGGAATCAAGGGAAACTTCACTCTATTTAAAGATGCCACAGGTCCAGGAAATAGCTTCCCACCGCCTGGCTAAGGCTTGAATAACTGGCTGCCCAGCCAATAACAATACAGGCTCACACAGCACACCCTTTCTCGTAGGGAGTGCAGAGTGGCTTCCCCGCTATCTCCTTTCAGAATTGTATAGACTATTCGTGTAAGGCATGTAGATCTGCTTTATAAGAACGAGCCTCTAAAGAAAAGAGATCCCAAGACGACTTGCAGGGAGGTCAAGGAGCTGAGTTTAGCCAGCCAACGCCCCTCGCTCTTTATTGTTCTATACTTCTTTGTTAGGATTTTTTTTCCCTCCCTCTTGCTCTTTTTTCCTTCCTGGTTAACTTCTCTGCAGCTAGGCGCTGCCACTGCTCCCTTCTCACCACCAGAGACACCATAGCCCCCTTCCCTCCTGCAGAGAGGCCTCCCCAAGGCCTCACCTGGGCCCAACACCCCACAGCCCCATTACCCCTCTACCCAGAATCTCTGAGGTAGTCCAAGGGCCCCTTGAACCCACAGATTCAGCTCCTAGGCTGGTGTGGAACCCACTTCCCATCTGGCGGGTCACCATCTACCCCAGGTACACCTTCCAGAGGCAGGGAAAACCGAATGCAGCTCCTCCTTCTTCCAGAACCTGAAGCCTCGCTGCGCCTCAGCCCATCTGAGGGTCCCGTCTGCAAAATGAGGCTACTGGCCCATTTTTTCAAGTCCCCGCCAGCTCTAAACAAGATTCCCATTTTGCCAGGGAGATAACCAAGAGAAAACTTTCATACATTTTTAAACAGAAGTTATTGGAGAGAAGGGGCAGGGATCTTTTTCTTTTTTAAAAAAACTTTTTAATGGTGCAGGCACTCAAAGGATCCATTCTCAGAGATCTCTATCGCTCCGGCTGGCTCCTCCAAAAGGACGGAGCCAACTTGGCGATCCCTGCTGGGGCTACCTGTGGCTGGGCACTGCGGGTCTGAGCGCCTCCAGACAAGGAGGGACAGGACGGGCGGCCTGAGAACAGGCGCCTCTCTCTGTCTCTCTGTTCCCTACACCGGCCAGACTTTTCCACGGATGGGCAGGACGGGAGTTGGGGGGACAAGGAGCAGACGGAGAGGGGGAGAGGGGCGGCAAAGAGACGAGGGGGGGACGAGGCGGGAGGACACGGTGGAGGAGCGGAACAGGGCAAAAGAGAGGAGGGGGAGGGGGAGAGAGGGAGGAGCCGGGAGAGACCCGGGCCGCGCAGCAGCAGTGCCGAGAGGGGAGAGGAGGGGAGGTGGGGGAGAAAGAGCAGGAGGCAGAAGTTTTCAGAGCCGTGGGGGCTCTAGGTCGCCCCCGATGGGGCACGGGCTCAAGGGGGCGTGGGGGTCGCGCGGCACTCACATAATGCTTGTTGGGCACCCGCCGCTTCTGCACGTCCAGCACCTTCACCTCCACGATGCTGCGCCGCGGCGGCATGGCCTCTCCTCCGCGGGGCCGAGTGCGGGTGCGGGGAACGCAGGGTGTTGGGGCGCGCCACAGCGGGCCGGGAACAGCCGGCCGAGCGGGATCCGGGGGCCGAGCGGGATCCGGGGGCCGAGCGGGATCCAGAGCCCGGTCCGAGCACGAGACGCCGCCGCCGCCCTTCGCTCCGCGCGCCCTCCGGCCCCGCCGCCGCCCGCCCCCCGCCCCCCGCCCCCGACCCGCCCCCGACCCGCCCCTCGACCCGCCCTCCGCGTCGTTGGCCCGCCCCCCCTTAAAGGGCCCGGCCCCCACGCCCGCCCCCGGAGCGCGGACCCGGCTGGCCCACGTCCGGCCTCGTCAGGGCCTTTGTCCCCGCGGCGAGCCCCCGCGGCTGGGGGAGGGGACGGGCGCGCATCTGCCTTGCGATCACTGATTGACCGGTGGATTCATTCCCGCACTCACTCCTTCTGATACCCACGGTCTGGCGCCGGATGTGAGGGCCAGACTCCAGGGTTCAAACTCCGGCTCTGCTGCTAATCGACTCTGTGACCTTGGGCAAGTGGCTTAACCTCTCTGGGCTCTCTGGGTTTCTTCATCTGTAAAATGGCCCTAGTGCTACAGCCTACCAACCGGGGCTGTCCTCAAGATTAAGTGCATGTGACGTCGGTGGCACTATAAATGTTGGCAGTCGTAAACAGCCCCAAGCCATGGGGATTCAGGGAGGAGCAAGAAAAGCCGCCCCCTCTCCACCCCCCCAACAAATGCAAGTATGATATAATGACAAGAGTAGCAGCAAAACAGGGTAAGAGGGTGGTGAATGCGTGAGGGGCAGTGGATGCCTGTTAACAAGGCCACTGATTCCCAGATGTGGAGCCCTCACTCTATGCCAGCTGCAGTGCCTCCTGCTTTTCTTTGAAAATTTCTCTTTGAATTCTCAGAGCAACTGCGGGGGCAGGGGGTCGGGGGAAGGTGGTTGACCCGTATTACAGAGGAGGTGACTGAGAGCAGCCTCTGGAGTCACAGAGCTGGTGGAGGGACCCCATCACTGGCTGGCTTGAGCCATATTTCACAAGTTAAAGTTAAGGGTGGCCGGAGCTGCTCCACATTTCTTTATCCAGTGCCTCCTAGAGCCCTGGCTGGGCACTGAGTCATTTTCAGGTGGTACTGGCTGAGCAAACATCTGAATGAGTGTACACATAATGCATGGTTAGGAGGTTTAGGCCCCTGGCCAGTGTTCTCACACTAGTAAGCAGTAAGCAGGGCTCTTTCCAACAAACCGCACAGCTCCCCTCCAGGCCTGAAAGAGCCCAGTGCCCCTTACCACCCTGGGTCCAAGGTCAGTCTTTGAAAGAGGGTGGGAGTCATCCAGAAAGGACGCTTTTCAGCAGCCCTGGCCAGGCCACTGGAGAGTTTGGTGCTGATTCACTTTGGATCTGCCCCACCACTTGCCCCTCTGACTTTTGTGCCAGGTTTTACCTTGCTCTGGTTCTGGAGGCCGGCCGGTATGGATTTCACTGATGGGTTTCCTGTCCTCTGGCTTCCTGCTGGGCTTGGTTAGTGGGGGTCCTTGGCAGGAGACTGAGGGCACGAGAAGAGAGAGGTCTGGGTATTCACTTCCCGAGCTTCCTTCCTGCTGGGTTGTCCCTGCCAAAGGTACCTTCCCCATACCGGCTCTCTCAGGGCTCCCTCTAAGGGTGGTAACTGTCCTGCCAATACTGCACCCTCCTTCTTTGGTTCCCCAGGCCCTGCCCACACCTTTATAAATGAACTCTTTAATAAACTTTCCTTTGTGACCCAGTTTGTGGGTGGCATTTCTTTCATGCTGGAACCCTCATTGATATAACTCCTGTAAGGCACCTTCTTCTGAATCATAATTGCAAGTCAAAGAGTGTGGAAAGGTCCAGTATGTTGAAGGCCTGGCTTTTCTGTGCCTATTGCCTCAATCCTCTGCATGAGCCAAGCCCTCCTAACAAGGCAGAACCACAGAGGGCAGATGCTAGAGGAAGTCTGTGAATCCGCCGGCTTCCTTGGTTTTCCCAGAAAGCCAATGAGACCTGTCCCCAGTCGCACCCTGAGCAGCAGAGCCAGTCCCCAGCCCTCCCGAGTGTGTTCACCTCTTGCGCTGTGGCAGACCTGGCCAGGGGAGACAAACCTTTCCTCCACCTGCCGGTAGCAGAGATACAATACCTGCATCTTTCCACACCCTTCCTTTTTCTTTTCTTTTTTTCTATTGTAGTGAAATATACATGACATGAAATTTACCACTTTAACCATTTGTAAGTGTACAGTTCCGCGGCATTAAGTGCATTCACACCGTTGTGCAACCATTACCACCATCCATCTCCAGGACTTTTTGGATCTTCCCAGACTAAAATTCTGTACCCCTTAAACACTAACTCTCCATTCGCCCTCCCTAAGCCCCTGGCAACCACCACTTACCAAGTGTGAGACCTTGGACAAGTCGACCTGCCTGTACCTCCATCTCCGCATCTGTAAGATGGGATAAGAATAGCCACTGACCACATAGGCTTGTTCTGAGCTCTAAATGAGATAACACAGGTAAAGCACGTGTATTTTTGTTACTTTGCTACCAGCCAATCCGTTACCCCTAAATATCTCCTTTTAACCTGCATCCAAATCCCAAAGCTAATTTTAATTCTGACTCTGCCTTGACCTACATTCACTCTTCCCAGTCCGGACCCTCTTTATAGCCCCTGATTGCGCGTCCCACCTCACCTGCCACCAGTTGTCTCCATTTTCTCCCAACAATAGAAATGACTTGTCATCTCCAGAAAAAAACATATTCTGTTTTTTCCTACCCACATGCCTTGGCATAAGCTATTTATTTCCCCACCTTCTCTGCTGGTGACCTCTTATTCAGCCTTCAAAGCCCGGCCTGAATGTCACTTCTTCCAGGAACCTCTGCCTCCCAGATATCACTTCCTTCCCTCACTAACACTGTGTCTTGTTGCAGCCATCACACTGGGCTGTGTAACTGATGACTTTGCCAGACTCTGAGCTCCCAAGGAGCTGGAATGGGTCTTATTTGTCTCAAATCCCCCCAGCATCGGCACAGACTAGCACAGAGAGGCCCTGAGGAAATGCTTGTAGGATGAATGAACCCATCTCCATCTCCTTAACTCGAAACTCAGTCCTCACCCGCCTGGTTAATCAGAACTCCAGGCTGGGCTTGTTTTGTCCCTACCCATGCCCCAGAGACGTCTTCACGCCAAGCTCCATTCTATCCACACTGCTTCTGGGAACACTGGCATTCTCCCTGATTGTAGTGTGGAGCAGACAGGGTAGAGAAGATGGTAAATCCGCTGCTTTAGCTGACTTTATGCTTCTAAATTCCTGTTTCAGAAGCGCACTTTGCAAGTCTGAGAGCTACAGACCATAGAAAATCAATGCTAGAGCCAGTGGACCACAGAATTCCACATGGCAGGTTTATTTGGGAGGAGGGCTGCACATTCGAGGAGCATTGAGTCCATCAGCGTAAATTAAGTTCTGGTCTTTTTGTGATTTTTAGTGTCTGCCGGGCTGGCAGGCTGCACCTTTCCAAATCCCAACTTTCCAGGATGGGCAGCCAGGCCCAGGAAGCTGAGGCCTGCTCCTTTTCTGCTTCTCTCTGTCAACCGCCTCTGAGAAGGCACCAGGATTCTTTGCAGGACAAAGCAGGAGCCTTGGAAAGAGACTCCTCCCCACCCCACCCCCAACTGCTGTCTGATTGGCTGGCACGGCAAGAGGCTCGTAATTAACACGGCCAGGCCTGCGAATACCGAGTGGCCAGGCACATGTGGTCCTGTGGAATAGGTCATAGGTTGTAAGCAAACAGGCCTTAAAGCAAAATTCCAGGTGCCCAGGCGGCAGGGCAGAGCCTCCAGGAGAGAGGAAGAGGTTGAGTGAAGTTTCCTCAGCGGCAAGAAGGCAATCATGAGTTCCTTCCTCCCATCTCCCATCTTCTTCCTCTTTCTTGGAAGCCAGAATGATCTTGCTCTGAAAAGGAAGCTCTGTTCATGATGCTCCCCTGCTCAGAACCCCCCACTGCTCACAGATGTTCCTGTGCTTTAGGTTGGCATTCAAGGCCACCATTACCTGATCCTTTCAGTACTGCTTTCATCTAACCCTATCCCGTTGCGGGGCACAGGCTCCGGACGCGCAGGCTCAGCGGCCATAGCTCACGGGCCCAGCCGCTCCGCCGCATGTGGGATCTTCCCGGACCGGGGCACGAACCCGTGTCCCCCGCATCGGCATGCGGACTCTCAACCACTGCGCCACCAGGGAAGCCCTTTTTCCCTACTTTTTAAAGAGTTGTGTGTGTGGTAATGTAACTTTTATCCAGCATGTACCAAGTGCTATGTACAGCCCCAAGCATTCCATATCCATTTCCCTAATTTGCCCCCAAAATCTGCAGTGTGAGAATTATTTTCCCCATTTTCATGTGAGAAAACCAAGCTTAGAGAAGGTGCCAAGAGTCATAGCATGGAAAGGTGGTGAAGCTGGGATGTGAACTCAGAATTACTGGGCTGCTTGACCTGTGTTCTTTCCATTGAAGCCAGAGCCCCCTTGAGGAAGGGCTGGTGTCTTCTAAATGTTTGTATCCGCTCCCCTCCATTAACAGGTGTCTCTCTGCTATATACTGAATGTTTGTGTCCTCTCAAAATTCATGTTGAAATCAAATCCCTAATTTGATGGTATTTGGAGGTGGGAGGTCTCTTGGAGGTGATTAGGTCATGAGAGTAGAGACCTCATGAATGGGATTAGTGCCCTTTAAAAGAGACCCTGGGGGCTTCCCTGGTGGCGCAGTGGTTGAGAGTCCGCCTGCCGATGCAGGGGACACGGGTTCATGCCCCGGTCCGGGAAGATCCCACATGCCGCGGAGCGGCTGGGCCCGTGAGCCGTGGCCGCTGAGCCTGCGCGTCTGGAGCCTGTGCTCCGCAATGGGAGAGGCCACAACAGCGAGAGGCCCGCGTACCGCAAAAAAAAAAAAAAAAAAAAGAGACCCTGGAATTAACATACACACACCTAGATATAAAACAGGTAAACAACAAAGACCTACTGTATAGCACAGGGAACTATACTCAATATCTTGTAATAACCTATAATGGAAAAGGAGCTGAAAAAGAATATATATATGTATAACTGAATCATTTTGCTGTACACTTGAA